CATCGCTCCGCAGAGCCCGGCCCTGCACCCCGGGGATGCCGCTGTCCCTGCCCGGCGGAGGCGGCGGGCGAGCCCCGGGTGAGCCGTGTGAGCGCCGGAGGCAGCGCTGACCGCGGAGGTCCCCGTGAAGCGCTTGGCACGAGAAGGGTTCTGGCCGGAGCGGGAGGCAAAACCAGCGCCGGTGGGGTCAGTCCCCACTGAAACCTCCACTACAGTTTCTAACATCTAACAAAATGGATTAGTCAGTGGATTTTGCAATTTTTTCAGTAGCATTTAGCCTCCTGTATGAATTTAATAGGAATAAATTTGATTTTTCTGCTTACATCATCACAGATATTTTAGAAACACACTTTTTCAGAAAGTGACAACAAGGGGGCTGCCACTCCACTGTCACAACTAAAAAATACACCCACAGAGTGCCTAATATTGCTGATATACTTGTAGTTTGTGCCTCTTGCCAGAGTGGGAAACTCTTGCCTTTTCAAGGACAGGGCAGTCTGTGTTCATTTTTCAGAAGACTTTTAAACTCTGACTTACTTAAATTGGACACAGTGGTTCTTCACTGATTTCACAAGTCTGTCATTTCAGAGGAATCTCACGTGCCCCTGGCCAGGCACGGCACTTGCTGTGCAGTCTGGCTCTGCAAGGTGTGATCAGCACTAGCAGACCCATGAGAGAGTTCAATGTATTCACAGAATTTTTCAGGTCTCTGCAGGGGCTCTTTGGCAGGGCGGGCAGTGTCACTTCTGGATTCTCACAAACTAGAAATGTGATAGTGTTTTTCAAGTTTTTAAGCAAAAATGTAATTGAAACATGTATTTATTATAACTAATATAGCATGTACTGTAAATGGCATAACTGTATAAATGTAGGCCCTATGTAAATTCATATAAAAATATAAATAAATCTGTACAAACTCATAGATTCCTGTTGCTAGTGTTTCACACTATCACTGGTCTCAAAAGAATCGTACAATAAATGAAAACCATCATGAATAAACTATGAACATATTTCAAATGTGCTCTGACGTTTTTAGATATGTTTTTATTTGAAAGTGGGTCTCATACAGTCTTGCAGTATTATTTAATTCCCAACGTTCTATTCTACTACCACCTTCACTCAGCTCCATTTATCCATTATCCACAGTGATGTTTTAAGAACTTCACGTGTTTAATAGCAGGTTTGTGAACAAGGCTTTGTAACACTTCCTGGAGAGATATATGCCCAGCCATGGAACGTATTAAGGGAAGGAACTTACTTTTCTTCCCTATGTGACTTGCCTGTGTCACCCTGACAGATACAGTTGCCTTAAACAAAAAGCCTTAAAATGTCCAAATGTCAAAATAAAATGTGTTGGGACACACTTCATTTGTTATCCCTGCACTGTCCTAACAATATCCATTTTTTACTGGATCATCCTTCAGACAGATGGCTTCCCTTGTGCAGTTGCATAACCACTTGCAGAAAGACAGCAGAGGGAATGGGGAGGGGGAAAGGACAGGGGAAAAAGGAGTCTGGGCTACTGTAAAATATTTTGAGGGTTTTTTTTTTAAGGTTGGGATTAATGAGCATGAGAGAGACAGTTTTTGTGTTTGGACTTAGTTGATTATTTTTTTATTTATATTACATTCTTACAGACAGTTCATTTACACACTAAGCTAAGAGTCTAGAAAATAAAGCCTTAAGTATTTTTCTTTAAAGCCTTTTAAGTGTTAACTACCAAATTATAAAATGCCAACTAACTTATTTTTAAGTATAATGTAATACTAAACACTCATGTTCCCACACTGTGGATTTTTCTATCTAATCACACAATATTACTAAAATACATGAAGAAGAAAGTAAAAGAACACGGCAAGTTAATGCTTTAAAACTTACATTTTGTTGCATATATGTGACTATATTCTCAAAACCTTAAAGTTTAAATTTTCCAGTAAGTGTTAAAACTTCTATTTAAACTACACACTTACAGTTTTAGTTCTGTTTATCAATTTTAGAAGCTTTTTCTATAACCTCAGGTCAAACACAGTGTTCTCTTGTAGGTCTGTGCCTGTCAGCAAAGAAAACATAAAATTCATTGTATCTAAGGTTCTAACAGGTTACCCAATGAATTTAAACATTGTATAGCAGACCACAGCCTAAAGGAGAGCTCTGGCTCTGTCTTTCCTGTGG